GCCCGCCGTGGCCCCTTCGAGCGCAGGTTTCCGTCTTCGCAGCCGCTCCTTTTTGTGCTTCCTTCCTCAGGGCAAATAAGGTCTTTCCTCCGTTGCCGGGCACGGTGGGTCGCGCTGGTGTGGTGGCTGCTCGCTTCTTCTTCCTTGCCTCTCCCTGGAGCTGGGGGTGTGGCCTGCCGGGAGAGTGGTATAAAGTCCAAAGAATGAGCTGCTCTCCCCTTCAGTGCAGAGTCCCCCCTTGGCTAGAGGAGATCCGGCTCTCTCTGCTGCTCTGCCCGCACACGCTGCCCTTTGCTGCCGTCCCCTTGTTTGGGTGACCTTTGTCTCTCGGCCCCTGAGGAACCCCCCCTCCCGGCCCGCCGGCCCGCCAGACCCCTTAAGTGCCTGCCATGCCCTCCAGGAAAGTGCCTGTCACCTTGCTGCTCCTGGCCCAGGTGGGCTTCTCGGTCAGCCTGGAGGCCATCCAGTGCCCTCCATGTTCCGAAGAGAAGCTGGCACGCTGCCGGGCCCCTGCCGGATGCGAGGAGCTGGTGCAAGAGCCTGGCTGTGGATGCTGCGCGACGTGTGCCTTGGCCAAAGGGATGCCCTGCGGGGTGTACACGCCTCGCTGTGGCTCCGGGCTGCGGTGTTATCCGCCACGGGGCATGGAGAAACCCTTGCACACGCTCATGCACGGTCAAGGAGTGTGCATGGACCTAGCTGAAGTCGAAGCCATCCAAGAAAGCATCCAGTCCACAGGTAAGGGGGCGCTGGGGTTGTTGGGTACCCAGGGCTGGCTGGCATTTGCTGCATGCGCCTTTGGCATAGGCTGCCTTGCACCTTGTGTATTAGGTATGGGCAGGAACAGATGTGTTTGAGATAACTTTGCCTATGGTGGATATATCCAAGGAGTTAGGTACCTATGTCAATCTGTTGCAACAAAAATAACAACGCATCCCATGGCATCTTAAAGACTTTACAGTTTTATTTGGCAACAGCTTTCATGGACTCCAGCATATTTCTTTGGATGCATTAGTCCTTCAGGTGCCACAAGACTTGGTTATTTTTACATGCTCTCTGGGCAGTGGCTCAGGTAAGGGCATCTTCAAGTGGCCACCTCTGGAAACCTGCTGGGCATAGCCGTATTTATCAACCAATGCCTAACAGGAAACTGGCACCGTCTCAGGAATGGATGCACTTGGTCTAGAGAGGATTAACTTTCCCATTCCTCTCTTGGGAGCCCCACGTGAGTTTCGTGCTGCATTTCAGGCTTGTAACAATATCTTGCTCAGCTGCCAACAGAAGCATATAATACACTGTCCATAGCTTCAAAACTGCCAGTGCCAAAGAGTCATAGGTTACATGCCTCACCTACCTCTGCAGGTAAGGTTATGTTCACTTTTTGCATCTGTGCCAAGGGAAGAGTGCTTCCCTGTGCAAACACAGGCAGAGAACGAGCAGCTAGAAGAAAATTCTGCTTAATGCTATGGGGAGATATTTCAAAGCTGTGTGAATCTACTTCCACCCAGGATATATTGTACTATTGCTGCCAAAAAGTGGGTGGTGCTCTTTAGATGCGTGGATATTCGGCAGTCAGAACATGGCTGCAAATCTCTGTTGTTTCTAGTTCTTGTGCCTGATAATTATCTTCAAGACTCTCTGGGCAGATTTTGGCGCATAGGGAACAATGTTAACAGCAGAGTCTGCCAAGCGATCCATCTCTTCTCTGTATATTGGGCAAGAGAGGTGTTTTGTCTAAAGCTACTTCCTGAAGATCTCCTTGTGCGGATCAGATATCCCCATGCACATACTTTCAACTTCGCTTGTGTTGCAGTTACAAAAGGGAGGTGTGTGGTCCAGCCCTGTGTGTCTTTTCATTTCCAAAAATAACCCCCCACTGAGCTCAGTTCGACTTAACGTCCCTAGAAATTTGACTAAGGCTTAAACTGTTTAAGGAATAAATGACAGCACGATCCTACACACACGGAGAAGTTAATAAAACGTACTCATAAGTAAGTCGGTATGGAACGACAGCCTTCATGATGCAGTGAAAGGAGGTTCTCCCTCCGACACCTTCAGTGTTGGTATAACAGCCTAGAAGAGAAAATGTGTGCAATGCAGACCAAAATGAAAAGTGTACCACAAAATATCATAGAATATGAAATAGTGAAGTTGGAAGGGGCCTGCAAGGCCATCAAGTCCAACCCCCTGCTGGATGCAAGAATAAAAATCAAAGGATATCTGCCGGATGGTTGTCTAAGTTTCTCTCAAAGTGTTGGAGCACTCACCACCTCTCAAAGTGAAGTGTTGGAGCGCTCACCACCTCTCAAAGTAATTAGTTCCATTGTCATACTGCTCTAACAGTTAGGAAGTTTTTCCTGATATTCAGCTGAAATCCGACTTCCTGTAACTTGATCCCTTTGTTACATGTCCTGCTCTCTGGGATGATCAAGAACAGATCCTGCCCCTCCTTTGTATGACAGCCTTTCAAGTATTTTAAAAGTGTTATATCACCTGTCTGTCTTCTTTTTTCAAGGCTAAACATGCCCAGTTCTTTCAGTCTTTCCTCACAGAGCTTGGTTTCCAGCCCCCTAATAATCCTTCGTGCCATCTTCTGAACTTGTTCCAATTTGTCTGCATCCTTCTTAAAGTCTGGTGTCAAGAACTGGACACAATACTCAAGGTGAAGCCTAACCAGTGCTGAATAGAGAGAAACTAGCACCTCACGGGATTTGGAAACTATGCTTCTTTTAATGCTACCTAAAATAACATTTGCCTTTTTTGTAGTCACATCACACTGTTGGCTCATATTCAGCTTGTGATCTACAATTCCAAGATCTTTCTCACGTAGTATTGCTGAGCCAGGTATCATGTCTTTTCGTTTCACATTAATTCACAATAGAGTCATTTTCATCCTCTGGTTCAGTTCACATTGCACATTTCCATCTCTCTTTCATCTTGATCCTATTGATGAAAGCCTAGACTTTTAAAAACCTTTTTGGAAGCTTTACTTCCCAAATACTGTAACTCTAAAAAAACATAGAGGGGCAATCAGAGTGAGGATGTAGGGAATCCAACTTAGAATGCACTCTAATGACGCACTTGACTTTTTGTGCTTTTGATCTGAATTAAATAAATCCAGAACAATTATGGTTCCTCCCAGTACATTAGCATCTTTGCTGTACTAACAACATGCACTGAAAGATCAAAAGGGCCCCACCTTTTTTTTGCCTGTTTTCAGAAAGGCTGCCAAGATTTATTTCCACTTCAGCTATTCTTCTACCGTAACTATACGACAGACAAAAATTCAACAGGTGATGTGCCTGTTCCTCCAGTCACTGCATTTCCACACAGTGTATGCTGGAATTTGTTATATAGAAGCATCACAGTGCTGTGAGATCTACTCACCTTTCCTGTGAATACGACCCTCCCACATTTACTGTTTAATGTATGTGGGAGCCATTTTGGGGTGACACAGGGACATACATGCAAATGACACAGTAATGAGGATAACAGTGCGGCGTGTAGGTCTTTCCCACACTTCAGATGCTATGTCTTAGTAGATTTTAGCAGACCACAAACTGAACATGAATTAATGGTATGATGTAGCAGAAAAAAAAACTAAACAAAACACTGAATGCACAATGCAGCACTCGGTTGCATCACCAGAAGTACAGTGTCTAGAACAAGGGATGTAATCACACCACTCTACTCTGTTTAGTCAGACTTCACTTTGAATCCACTGTCTAGTTCCATGGGTGGGAAAGAGGTAACTCTATCTTTTCTGCCCCATGTAAAGACGTCCTTCGTATAAGTACCCCTGTAACATGGAACTGGCATCATGTGGAAGTGGCCTTATGCTGCGGAAAGTGCATGCAAAGTGGTTGTGATCCCCCCATTATATGTAGCATGCTAATCCACATCATGGGTAGGCAATGTGTGGCTTTCCAGACACTAGACCTCCCATCAGCACTAGCTGATTTAGGAGGAGTTTTGGGAGCTACAGCCCAGCCCCCTGTGGGGAGCAAAGCAAAGCGTGCTGCTTATATACCACCCCATAGTGCTTCAAGCTCTCTCTGGGCGGTTTACAAGTTAATTATACAGGCTACACATTGCCCCCCCCCACCAGCAAGCTGGGTACTCTTTTTACCAACCTCGGAAGGATAGAAGGCTGAGTCAACCTTACCTGGGATTGAACCCCAGGTTGTGAGCACAGTTTTGGCTGCAGTACAGCAGTTTAACCACTGTGCCACGAGGCTCTTTGTTAATAGGAGCTGTGCTTTGCCTATTACTGATCTTCACTAAGGAATCTTAAGTACCGTAGATGTCATTGATTACTGTGAATCGGGATGGTTACAACCCTTATTCCAGATGAACTGATCTTGAGTGAAAGGATTGTAGATATGGAATATGTTCTTTAAAGAAAAAGACTGAAGGGATATTATCTGAAAGAATTCAGAGAAAAAAGGCTGTTGGACCATGACAATGAGAATTTCCTATGAGGAAATATGTCTGTATGTGGGCATATATTGGAGCACGGGTGGGATCCACAAAGCCAATATGCTGCCTTTTATTGGTAAGATGCAAGATGATCAGTCTCCTTATGCATAGATTTCCAATTGCTGGATAGCTCAGCGGCTTATGTATCTGGCCAGAGGTTTTGAGTTTGATTCCCCCACTGGGCCTCCCTGACGGGGCTGGACTTGATGGTCCTTAGGGTCCCCTCCAGCTCTGCAGTTCTAAGATGATATTTATAATAACAGGTTCCAATTTCAAAATGGTGTTTCTGTGTACCCTTGAGATGTGCAATTTTAATCACAGGTGAAAGCAAAAGGAATTAGATATCTTTATGTGTCAATGGAGGTGCAAAGGAGAAGAAACGTTGAAGAAATGATGGCGGTTGAGGGAGGAATAAGGAGGGTTGGCAAACAAGGGAAGTGGCAAAGAGGTGGACAGCCAGCCAGCAGGAAAAGCAGGTGAGGTCTTGTACCAACCGATAATGTGGCGTGGTGACTGGAGAGGGGGCTGGGACACGCTGGGAGGTTGGTGCGGGTCAGGGGAGGTCTGTATGTGTGTGTGTTTATACTTTGTAGTTACATGTTGGGGGTCATAAGATTTATGCATGGATTTTGACGGGAAATTAGTGCGCGTCAGGGGAGGTCTGTATGTGTGTGTTTATGCTTTGTAGTTACATCTTAGGGGTCATAAGATTTATGCATGGATTTTGAACTACACAGGGGTCCACTTCCCCTCATCCCAGTGTTGTTGAAGGGAGAAGGGTAGTTCACTTGAGTTTTGTAAACAGGGTGCCAGGCTGGGGAAAACTGGGCTAGAGTGATCAGATGAATAGGCAAACTGTGGCCAGGTGCCTTTAAAAATGGGGGATCCTATCAGGTGCAGTTAGCCATGCCTAGCTGAAGAAATCAATGCTGCTGACATCTCTTCAACACGACTATTGAAAATATAGGTGCCTTGTTCTCTCCCTCCAACTGCTTGTAATAATTATAACTCACAGTTGTTCACTGACCCAGTAAGAGAGACCCATGAAAATTTTAGAGACTTGGACCATGACTTGTGACACTGAATTCTGTGGGTGACAGAATTCACCCACAGAATTCAGTGTGTGGGTCGTTCACACTCCCTCCAACTTTGGGCCCTTCACACCCTCTTATTGACCTCACAGGGTTGCTGTTGTAAAACTCACGTGGGCTGGAGGACAGTCACTGGAGGAAAGATGATGTATTAATGTGAGTAATATA